TTACGTCCATTTGAAAACACATTTCTAGTTGTATTTAACTGAAAAACTTCGATCAAAAGGCACAAAAAAAAAAAAAAGAAGAAATTTGCAGTTTCCAAGGACACTAAAACTTTGGAAGTCACCTTACTTTTGAGGCAATTTTCTCGCTTATTTAACCTTTGCTATCAGACGCCCCCCCCACATACATCCTTGAACTGCAAATATCTCGACTATTCAATATACATGAGTACCGGTATTTTAAAAATTAAAACCAAGACAGATAAAAACAAGTTATATGCTGATTATACTAAAAATTCCATTTCATTTGCCCAAAATTTGAAGAGTGCCTGACTCCACCGCGTTGTGCACATAATACAGATATAAAAGCAGATAAGCAGCAGACTATTCCAACTGTTTCAGTCGCATTCAAACGTAATGATTACAAGTACAGAATGAAACAGGTTTCAAGTGTGATGTGTTTGCTTTTTATTTTATTTCAGAGCATTCTCTTTTCCCCAGTGATAGTTTCCTTTTCATCGTTCTACGTGGGTAAACAATGTGTGGGTGGTTGGTGGGAGTTATGATCTGCTTTGCTTCTTCTTTCCTTTCAAATGTGGGGTAAGTTGACAAAATGAGTTACTTCTCACAATTCACAAATGGAGATATTGGCCAAAAATCAACACTATTGGGTCAAATTTGTAGATTTTCTTTTGATGCCATTTTCTGTAAGTATAACTAGCCTTTCATTATTTCATACTTATAAATTGTAAAAGCTTCGCCTATAAGCGTGATGTATCTATTTCCATAGGGCTCAAATCCGAGACGTAACTCATTTTGTCAGCATGCTTAACAAATGTCTATCATCCTTATCTCTTCTCCATCTTTTTCTGTGTTGGTCACTTTTTTGTAACACCTCCAATCTTCTGCATTTAATTGTGTTGCAAGTGACGTAAAACTCTTTCTAAAATATAAAACAGTAAACATCGCCTGATCAAAATTGTTGTCTCAAGTCAAAAAGATCTACACAGAAATGGCAGTAATCGTAGATTACATCACTTTTATAGATTTGACCATCATTCACTTCATCAGAAAACCAATACTGATCGTGAAAGTCTCTTTCGTCTTTGTGATGCAAAACGTGTGAACTGCCCCAACTGGTGCTTTAGTTTTAGTAAGAGTTTTACAGCACTTGCAACACAATAAGGTCATATAAGTGCAGAAGATTAGAGGTATTCCAAGTCAGTAACAAACATAAAAAAGAAGGAGAGGGGATAAAGACGACAGTTGTTTGATAGGAAAAAAGGAGAAAACAACACCAGAGCACCCGCCAACCACCCACCCCAACTGGTTCGATTACTAGGCCTAGCTGACCAAACATACAGTCAAAATGTTACAATAAATAACGCACAAAAATATGCACACACGCACACACATACACACAAACACTCACAGACACACACACACACACACACACACACACACACACACACACACACACACATAGACAAACTCTTATTATGACCAGGCAGGGAGGTGCACATTGTATCCCAGACCAGACAGAACTGCCTGTGTTCAAGATACCATGCGTTTGTAGCAGTCGAAGTTCTATAAACAGAATATATCTACATAAATAACATGGAATTGAGAAATGCAATTTCTCAAAAAAGAATATTATTCTTTTCCTGTCTGTCTGTCTGTCTGTCTGTCTGTCTGTCTGTCAGTCAGTCTGTCTGTCTCTCTCTGTCTCTCTCTGTCTCTCAGTCTCTCAGTCTCTCTGTCTCTCTCCCTCTCTCCCTCTCTTTTATTACTTAGCCTTTAAGATCAAAGTTTCAGATGGGGAATTTTGTGGGTCAGACTGGGCAGTTTGCTGCTTAGCAAGTGCATTTCGATACTTCCAGAAGATTATTGGCCATTGGAAGTGAAAGTTATCATTATATGAATCAAACAGCCCACGTTGAGGTCCTGGTGTTCCAGGTAGGTCAACGCATTCTGCAGCTGTCGTCTTGGTTTGTTGGTCGGTAGACTGACATCCCTCGGCAACAGCTGGCAGGAGCACCATCTTGCAGGCTCGTCGTCCGCACTCAATATCGACCATGTGTTCCTGAGATGTCCCGCCAACTATTGTGCCTGAACCTGTCTGCTGGGACATTTCAGTAATCCACTTTCAGCACTTTTTAAGGACCCCCCAGCGACTGTTGAGTTCCTGTGTGCTGTTGGCATCGCAGACCGTTTATGACGCCACAGTGCCAGAAGAAAGAGAGAGAGAGAAACAGCCCACGTCCTCTCCAGCATTTTATGTATTTGAAGTTTGTGGTAAAATGAATGATTTAAAATCAAAACTTCTGACTTTTTCCCCTTTTGATCATTAGCTGGATCTTTGATCTTAAGTGAGTAGATACATTTGTTCACAAAACATGCTGTAACAAATATTTCTAAGCTGCAAACCAACACAGCGAAGTTTTCAAAGAAAGCAAAGAGTGGTGGCAATAACAGTACTGCTCAATCCGGGATATTATGATTCCAGTCTACGTATGCTAGTGACTGACATCACTGACAAGACGTTCACTCTTTTTGTTTCGCCACATTTTTCTTCTCATTTGAAAACAAACTTTCTTTACTAAATACAGCTAAAAGCACAGGCTGCAAGAGTTTACTGATGACAAAGCAGTTTAAAAATAAAAAAGGCAAAAAGAAAGAAACAACACAAACAGAAATATCCCCCCAAATACATGGATCTGGTATTTTTTAACATAGAGTCTTGTATCTGGTATTTTTTAACATAGAGTCTTGGACAGTGTGACAGAATATAATATTGCAGATTACAGCACACAGCAGTCTTTGCGTACGTCGCTCAATATGAAAATACACAACGAGTCATTAATTGTACTGGAAGTTGAATGATGTCAAAAGAAAGCACCAAAATCTTCCACAAGAGGCATCATGATCAATCTTTCATGTTGACAGCCCTCAGCTGTAAGGTTGGGGGAGGATACGGGACGGTTGGGGGAGGGATGGTTTGGGAAGGAGGATATATGAGGGGATAGATATTTAACAGATTTAATTACATTGGTATAAAAGCTGTCGTCGCTACCACTTTGCTCATAGCTGATAATAATAATAGATAGCATTTAATTTGTATAGGGCAAATCCCTGCTTATCAGCAAGCTCTATGCGCTTTACAATCTATAGGCTACTATTACCCCAGCAGACCTGACAGCATTCTGAAACAATCTCAACTTCCTGGGAAGCATACAGTGCAAGCGGCCATTTATAGGCGCTAAAACACTAAGTTACTGACAAGATCTTTTGCTGTCTATAGCAAGCTGGGTACCCATTCCCACCTGGGTGAAGGGAGGAAAATTCGTGTAAAGTGCCTTTTCCAAGGACACAACGTCGTGCCCGCGGCTCGAAACCCCGACTCCACAAACTCACGATTACGAGAGCTGTAGCCTAACCAATTTGACTTCTCAACAAACATGGCCTTTCGAATATCTGGGTCAGTTGGGCCAATATTGAGAGGAAACAATTCACGCACGCATGTTGGAATTGTTTCGTTTGTCTCAAACAAAACAAAAAATATTTATGTGACCTTGGAACTCTTTTTCAAGAAAACAGTATTCAATAAATTCAACAGTACAGGCTTAGAAATTCTATAACTGCTGTTATTAATTTGTTTATTGTACGTAAATATAACTTGTATAAAACAGTTCACTTGTATTTATTTCTAAACCAAGTGCTAGGTAAAAATACCTTTCAAAAACCGGAGAAATGCTAAAATTGATTCCTGCCCTTTCTGACTATTATTACTCTATGATCACAAAAATGCTCTTCAATCCAAGCAAAATAATAATAATGATAATTATATTAATGATGATGATGGCCATTTGCGTCTTAACCGACCATCATAAAGCAATATACATGATACCGCTTTACCCGCGCAGAAAATATAGAGAAAGTAGATTGCCAAAGTACTAGTCTACTTTCCTCCTGATCTTGAAATTCCTTGATATGCTCCAAAGGAGAGACATCGTCAGTACATTTGGAATCACAGAAGGTGTAAAAGTGTGTCTGACAATTTCTTTTTCTTCTCTGTTTGATATCAGGAGTAGTTGGCTTCTGGTTCTTCAACCTGTAGAGCAACTGACTTTTTACGTACGTGACCGCTTTTCCAGCTCAGTGGGAAATAATAATATAATAATAATAATGATAATAATGATAGTAATAATAAAAACAATAATAATAATACAACCACTAACAGTGATAATAATAATAATAAGAAGAATAGTAATAATAATAACAATAATAATGATTTTAAGAATGATGATAATAATGATAATAATAACAACAAGCAGAAAGGGGAAAAGTTGAAATGTCTCGCATGAAACATGAGTCACGTAGGGTACCGTAAGTCATGAACGAGACGAGCCCATCCTCCTTATGACATCACATCCGTGTAGTATGTAGATAATGAATTGGACACACGTTCTCATTACATACTCACAGGTGTCACATGTGTACAGTGAGTTCATAATGTGTGTTTTTTCCCCATGAAAAGTCTGTGAAACGTCTGTGAAGCGTGTTCATTACAATCTTAAAAGATGTTGCCAGGCATTTGGAGTAAGCTCAATGCCTTACTGAACACCTGGATCACGTTTGTGGGCAGTAGGGTTCATAATGTACTCAGAATTCGTCATGTGTGTGTGTGTGTGTGTGTGTGTGTGTGTGTGTGTGTGTGTGTGTGTGTGTGTGTGTGTGTATAGTGTGTGTGTGTGTGTGTGTGTGTGTGTGTGTGTGTGTGTGTGTGTGTGTGTGTGTGTGTGTGTGTGTGTGTGTGTGTGTGTGTGCGCGCGCATGTGTGTGCGCATGTGTGTGTATAGTGAATTGGCAAAGCACTGAACACTCATATTACATGCGTTCCACCCAAGTCACGCGTGTTTAGAACTTTCACAACGACGAGCATTCCATTCTGCGTCCCTCGTGCGTCATGTAATGAGTGGACAAAATAATCGACACGCTCATCACTCATTCATGCGTGTATTGTGTCATTCACAAAATGTGTTCTCCGCATTACATATGTGTGTGTGTGACGCCTTCGTAACGCCTGCGTTCCACCCTCGTCACGATGAGTCAGCGGCACTGTCTGGCGAGTCGGTCGTCTTGTCAAGTCCTCCCTGCACGCGTTGGTATGGAGGAGAGTGGGGGTTCTCGAACGAGGAAGAGCCAGCGGAGGATTTGGCAGCAGCACTGGGAGTACTGGGGTTCGAAACCCCCTTGGCTCCCGGAAGTCGCACCTGTATGTTAGTCTCTCCGCGAAGAAAGCGCTCTAGTTTATCAACACAAGCATCTTGGTAGTCATGGATCCACCTGTGAGACAGAGCGAAAAATTTTTTTTTAAAAAAGTGAAAATGGAAAAAATGCAGAAGGAGGGGGATGGGGGGGGGGGGGAGGGGGAAGGGAGAGGGGAGAGAAAGAGAGAGTGGTTTCTTAGAAAGCTGGTATATAGAAAAGACAATAATAGAGAACGGTATGGGGGTAAAATTAATAATGGATGGAATCCTGTTGGTTGGGGAAAAGGTGCAGAAGGGTATTGGTGGTGGGGGTCGTATACAGATAAGAAAATAATAATAATAGACAATATGTGAGGGATCGTAGTGAAATCAGGTGCTCATCAAAATAATGAAATCGAATATAGGCATTTTTCCCCCCGAGTTTGATCATAAAAATTTTTTTTTGTCTTTTGCGGCAACACCTCTTATATCCATATAAAAAGACATTTCCATATAAATTTAACAGAAAAAAGTTGATGAAAGGCACAAAAAATGTAATTTTTTTCAGTTTTAAAGGACTCTCAAGCTTTTGAAATTACTGAAATTTGGTGGCCATTTTCTCACAAATTTTATCACTGAAACCAGGCGACCCCACCTCCTTCAATCTCAAATATCCTGACTTCTATTCAAGATAGATGGGTATTTTTTTTCAATGAAAGCAAGGCAAATAAATGTCCTTTTAGATGATACTATTAACTCCACATGCGCAAAAATTGACGAGCGCCTGATTCCACTGCGTCGTAACACATAATGGAGATAATATTAATAACAGATGGAAAAGGATTCTGTCGGTTGGGTGAGCGAAATTTTAGTAAAGAGAAACATATTGACATGAAAATAACCAATAAGTGTGAAATCAAAACAAGTTTGTTTAAGTAAGCTTTTTACAGCACTTGCAACACTGTTAGGTCGTGTAAGTGCTGAAGATTATAAGTGTTACAAGAGAGTAATAAACACAAAAAAGGAGGAGAGATAAGGATGACAGTTGTTTAATATGAAAGAAGGAGCAAACCTCACCAGAGCAACCGCCAAACACCCACTTAAAACAAGTCACGCAGACAGAAACAAATGAAGGATGAGAAGAAGAATATGGGTGAAAAACAGGCATAAAGGAAAAACTAGTATAAGAAAGCGAAAATTAGACCTAGATGGGACAGTGACAAAGAAGTTTGTAGATTAAGTACAAACCCCCCCCCCCCCCCGAAAAGCAAAAAACAAAATCTAAAGTGAACTGACCGGACGGCGTTGAAGTAGAGGATATTTCTCATGTCCTCTGGCAGCGAGTCCGCCGAGGGAAAGTTGAAGTTGTCCAGCAGTGGAATGATGTTGGTGCCCGCATCCATCGCAGTAGAGATCTCCTGTAGGGCAAAGGTCAAAGGAGACATGAGCAAGGAAAGTTTAGTTTTACGGTACCGTTATACGAGGTGCCCATTGGTGGATTGGGTTGAGTCGGGGCGGACTGCTAGCTAGACTGAGGGCGCAAAGTGGCTATCTAGGCGGCACAAGCCGATCGCGCTCGATACGTTGCCTCAAACTAAACACAAACACCTCGACTCGACTTGACGCGACCCGACCCCACCCAACCTGACCATAGCCGACCCGATCCCATCTGCAATGGGCACCCCGTATTAGAATTGCAAAGTTCTATCTGCATGGTACCACCTGAGCTAACCATAGTACCTAAAGGCGCTGTGGAGCATGAAGCTGCTTGAAAAACTCTTAAGAGTGTATATTCATAAGGCTCTAAAAAAGTACATCTTTCAGAAGTTTTTTTGTAACTGCTAAAAACATTCTTAAGTACGATTTTTAGAGACGATTTTGAAAATGTGACAAAACAAAATGAAACAAAACCACTGTACGAGTAACAAAACAAAACAAAGCCTAAGTAATAAAAAAAATAAAAACAACAACAAAAAACCCCCCCACCCAAAAGAAAAAAAACTTTCAGGAAGTCAAGCAGCTGCATAATAAGGAAAGTGTTAGATTGGAACCCACAGGGTAAAAGATGAAGAGGAAGACCACGTGGAACCTGGAGAAGAGTCACAGAAATGGATGTACAGAAAAGTGGGAAGACATGAAGTGACATCCAGTGACTAGCCCAGGATAGGGAAAGGTGGAAAGTGTTTGTTCATGGCCTTTATGTGTGTGTGCCTAAAGAAAGGTACCAAAAGTCGCCACAGACCATTTTGAGCTGCAGGCTGATAATGACCAAAAAATACCTTTTTTGACAAAAATGTGTTTCCATTAAAAAAAATAGTTCCATCATTTTATAACAATAATAATAATATGCTAAAAGAGTTTTCATTGATTTGACTTCTAATTACTTCATTTCGATTATTTTTTAATGTAGGGTATGTTATAAAAGTATATTGAAAGCTGCTTTTAAAAGGTGTTAAAATCTATTCTTGAAGCATGTTTTCTTTTCCCCATTTTGTTTTATCATTGAATTCTAACCATGAAATTGATGTCAACATGACGAATTGGAAATTAATTTTCTATGAATAAATACATTAGAAACAATTGAATCATTGTTTTTGTAAAGTTTGTATGTGTTCTAAACTTAAAAGTTAATTTTCTTAAAATTAGATCTTTATACCCTACCTCGCAAAACGTACCATATCTCAAAAACTACTTAAGACATCTCAAAAATTAAAAAACCACTGTGTTCAGCATTGAATGTCCTATTAAGTACTTTCTTTAACTCAAAAGGATTAAAATCCGACTTTTAGTACCTTTCTTTTGGCACACACACATATCCTGATTTAGGGTGAGAAAGGCAAAGAAGATGATGATGAAAAAGCAAAAAGCAAACGCACTCTGTGGACCCAGTCCTTCTTCTCGTCATCTCCTATACAGCGGTCCAGAGAGTTTGGTGTGAGGACGATGATGAAGTTTTTGGCCAGCCTCACACTCTCCAGGAGACTCTCGTCAAACTTGCCCGCCCTCAGACGCTCGATGTCGATGAACACGGTGAAGCCACGCAGTTGGAGGTGCACCTTCAGCAGACTGCGAGTAAACATTACAAAATGTGTCAAAAATGGCATTATGAAGGAAGAAATCCAGGAAAACTATAAGCAAGATCAACATAAGAAAATCATGCTGAACATGGGGTGAATGGCCCGGCCATACTTTGGATATGAAGGCACAAATCCAGGAAAACTACAACAAAAACACACAAAAAAAACAATACTAAAAAATCATGCTGGACGACTATGGAGCAAATGATCATACTTCAGATCTCCTACTCGGTGTTTTTAAGCTCCGCTAATTTTGTGGAGTTTTTATGAGATCTCAACCCATTAGATTCTGTCCTCTTTGAAACATGTTAAATTCCGAAGTTTCATCTCTTCAGTGTTGAAAGGGGCGTTGTTTACGACAGTAGGTCAAACATAGAAGTTTCTGACAAAGTGTCTGTTGTTTATTTGAAGTGAAGAAATTACATTGACACAGTATTGATCATTTAGTGTTGGGAAAAGTAAAACAGACAGACAGACTGAAGCAAATGAGGGAAAGAAAAGTAGGGCCTACCAACCACCCTCAAAACAAATTGGTACTACATGCACACTGAAATGAATAGTTTCTCACAATATTCTTCAGCACTTATATGACATAATTGTGTTGCAAATGCCGTAAAATTTTAACTAAAAAAATAAAACAATGACACATAAAGAGCTTATTTCAAACCGAACCACCAACCAAATTATCAGCTCATTCTGAACCGACACTTCAACCCACTCACAAACCAACCAACCAACCAGCCAAGCCACTCACAAACTAAAAACCAACGAACCGGTTCACCCACCCACACTGATGTATTAACTCATACAACATTCTCTGCCCCTCAGCCAACCCACTTGAGGGTCAACCAACTGACTGTTTAACTAACTCACCCACCCACAGACAAACCCACTAACAGGTCAAAAATTCGTGGGGTACCTTATTGTCAAATATCTCCTCAACCATTGAACATAAAACTCTCCAGCTTTTGCACAGTAACTTGTATCTATTCTATATGATCCTTTGTTGTTGCCCTAAACACGCCAGATGGCGAGACGGATAGTAAGTAAGTTGCATCAATTTGTCTTAACAGATCAATATTTTTGTAAACATCTGTTAACTCTATTCTAGAAAATTCCTTAATAAATACTAATTAAAACTCCCAGGGGGTGGTTTCTACAGATTTCAAAACGTTTACAGCCGGGACAATATCACTTTTAAAAGCAAGTCCGTCATTTTTTTCTGATTGCCAGATTATGTTTATTGAACGCATGTTTTGAGAACTTTTAGTGCCAAAAAGTGTTGACTTTAAAATTAATTTCTTGTAACTAGTTTTGCCCCTAAAAAGTGTCACTGGTGAGCTGTGACAGAGGCCATAGGTGTAAAAAAATGTGAGCGAGAAATGGGAAGTGAACAATTCCATTTTATGCTGAAGGCGATTTGTAGCATTTTATATAAATTTATGAAGAAAAGTTTTTAAATTTAGCCTCAATTGTTGTCGGACAAATATGATTATGTTATGACAAATTGATGCAAACTGCTGTGCAATGTATGGGTGACATTGGTTCACCCACTAAAAAGATATTTGAGGATTAGTTGCGCCACCAATTTTTGACTGCACTATACCCACCCACAGTGCAACCCACCAACAAGTTTAGTTTTAGTAAGCATTTTACGGCACTTGCAACACAATTAGGTCATATAAATGCCGAAGATTAGAAGTTTCACAAGAGAGTAACAAACATAAAAAAGAAAAAGGAGAGATAAAGACGATAGTTGTTAGATATGAAAGAAGAAGCAAACTACACCAGAGCACCCGCCAACCAACAGGTTTACAAAACTACCCACCCACAAACCAATCCACCAAAAGGTTTACAAAACTATATAAATACCCACCAACAGACTAACCAAACCACCAACCAACCAACTCACCTAGCCAGCTGAGAGCCGTTTGATCGCCTGTAACTGATGAACACATCGATTGGTTGTTTGCACGGATTCGCTCCTGGGCTCACCCCGTCCGGGCAGTCAAAGGCGATAGAGGCATTGTTACTTAGGCTGGTCCGCAGTTCTGGGGAAACACAGGGAAAATTGTATGAGTTAAACAGAAATGTGGGATAGGTGTTTGGGGGG